CCTTACAACAAGCTTTAGAGTGCTTCTCACACTATAATTTTCTAAAAAAAAAAGAAAAAGAAATACAATTAAGTACTTTTACAAGTTTGGATAGATTATAATTAAGCTCAAATACTTTTTCTAAATTTGGAATGAAGAACAAGTGTTTTTTGTGAAGAATATTATGCTTTTTGCTCAAAGTAGCTATTTCTCTTTGAATCTTTTTTCTTTGATTGTTGGAGCTTCCTTTTATACTTAGGGCATCTTTTTTTGTTGGAGACAATTGCTAGTCATTAGAAACAACTATGATGCATTTTTAGCTATTATTTTATCCTCTAGTGTTTAAATTAAAAAAGAGAGACTAACTTCAAGTAATCAATTATAAGCAGCTCTAACAGATTACAACTTATCTGCCTTGCACTGTCCTGTTGCTATGTTCTCTGCTCTAACCGATTATGAGTTTTTTGTCTTCAAACTTTTCTTTTTTAGCAAACTTCTTCTAACTGGTTATGTCAGGCTCTAACCAATTACAAACTTTCTGTTTTCTCTTCTCTACACATCAGTCTTCCTACTTGGTTAGCTTTTCCCTTAATTGATTAAAGCTTTACTTCCTTCAACCATAACTAATTAAAATCAACTTTAATCAATTAGAAAATCTTCGAAGTTTGAACTTCTCCATTTTGGCTCTATTCATTGGTCAACTATATTTTTAAACTTATTTTTGGCGCTTAAAGATACTAAGACCTTGTGCTCTAACCGATTAACCAAACTTCTTAATTGATTAGCATATTTTTGTTTTGCTTCAACTTATCACATAGCCATGTCTTAACTGATTAAGGTCCCTTGATAATCAGTTACTAAGGTTCTATTTTTGTTGATTACTTACTCTTTCCTTCTTAATTGATTAATCCTTCATTAAACTTAGCAAGCTCCTTGACTTATCTTTAATTAACAACTTTGTTTAGGGTATTAAATTAAATCTCGTACACTTAAATAACAACATCAGACATTAATGATTGAGAAATGTTTTGTTATCATTAAACCATTTGAAGTCAACATTAGGAACCTAAACAAACTAAGGAAAGGGAATTAGTATAAACTAAAATTGAGATAACATATAGTCATATTAATTGATTTGTTATAGGATAGAGATATACCTATATGCCATATGTAGCCAGAATTAGAACCTGATCTTAATGAATCTGTTTTAATTTCAATTCACATAAGGATACAGTGTTTTGATTAAAATAGATATTTTTATAAGACAAGTCGAGAACCCTTATAAATAATTCAGGACTCTAAGTTAGCAATTCAATCCATTGAAATAAGTTAAAGAAGAGAAGTAAGATTTAGATGAAGTGTGAGGGATATTATAATCCTAGGCTTGTTTAATTTAATTTTTACCCTAGTTATTTTACTTTGATATTTACTTTAGTTTAAATTTTGGCTAATTAGTTTTAGTTAATTAATTTAGTTATTTAATTTCGATTGTTTGGATAAGATTAAATTATTATAATTTTAGCACTTAGTAATATTTTAAATCAATTCTTTGTGGGATCGATACTCTACTTACCATTATATTATCTTTTTGATATGTATACTTGCATAGCTAGAAATTTAACTAACAGAAATTAGCTAATGTGACAAGCAAAAAGAGCAAAGAACATAGAAAGTATATTTGACAAATATACAAACAGGGGAGGAATAACGTGTAGAGTGAATATAAAGTTATTTTAATACTTATGCTATCACAAACTACAATCAAAATTTTATATCATTTTATGTCATAAAGTTGGAATCTAATTTGAAAAACATAAAATGAGGATTGGACCATAACTTAGAATGATTCGCATAAAAACTTGAGAAGACTTGATCATATTATAAAATAAATTTTTTTCAAAAGAACTCAATATCAAGCAATTGATATATAGTTGTTTCTACATTTGTTGTGTTACAAAGAGTAACCAGAGTTGAATATAATCAATCAAGCATGGTATAGATAAAATGTAAACAAAAGTTGAACATGCATGTCTATGCGGTCATATAGTTGTTCAGTATAGTAAATTAGATAGAATATAGTTAAATATAATCCAGCATGATACACATGAAATGTAATTATACGGCAAACATGTATGTTCAGTAAGAAAAAATGTCATGTCAACATCATTGTAATTTGCATAAAAAACATGTATAAACAATAATTTCAAAAAACGAAATTCATAGAGCATCAAAACAATAGAAGCAAATGATAAACTACAATTGAAAAAGAAAGTCATTGAAGAATCTTTTACAAAATCTTGTGATAGGTTCTATCAATCTCAAATCACAGCCCAATGTAAAGACTGCAAATAACAAAGAAAGAGTTAATTACAGTGAAACAAACATAGAAATATTTATTTTAAAAAACTGGACCTTCATTTTGCAGAACAAATGCATCATCATATTTTACAAACAAAGCAAATATAACCAGAAGTTGACTTTGTAATTGTTATGAAATGTGTTTTTTGTCCAAATGGTACCAAAGTATAATTATATATTTATATATGCTGTTATATGTACTAAGTTAACAATGGTTGTACTGTCATGAGATGGGTTAAATTTTGGAGAGAGAAATTATCTTTCTTATTGCTAAAGAAAGGAGAGGTCGTACCATAGATTGTTAATCTCCTTTAACGACCAATCTTTCCCTTAACAATGAGAAAGATTTTTTTTCACTCTGAAATTGGACCATCAATGGTAATACAAAACATTGCTGCTCTTAACATTGAAGACCATGAAACAATTAATTTGACAAAAAAAAAAAAACTTGATTTACAAAGTAAAACAATGAGCATAGACTAAAGCATAACGATATTGAATAAAAGTACAAATGCATGATAATAACTCGAGCATTAACACCGAACCATATGGCTTAACAGAAGCTATCAAAATATAACAAACATGTTTACAAAAGGCAAAAAATCAATTATAAAAAATAATTCACTCTAAAGGAAATGTAATTGGAAAATTAAGCATACTTGAGTAAGTAATTGATTTAGCAAATTTTACTATAGAATAAAAACAAAATAGCAATTAACAACAAAACACAAAACAAAAAAAATATATTAAATATGAATAAATAATAAAGAAAAAATGTAATTCAAAAGTTAATCGTACATGAGTAAGTAATCTATTTAGCAAACTTTGTTGCATAATAAAAATCAAATAGAAATTAACAACAAAGCACATGAAAAAAAGACATATAAGATATGAACAAAGAATAACAAATTTGAATTTGTTAGTTAACCCAAAAAGAAAAGAATAGCACATTTCCATGCATGCTTAGTTTGCTCAACACATAGGATTTATTGAGTTAAAAATCATAGTAAATAAGAATAAATAATAAAAAGAATATGTAATTTAAAAGTTAAAACATACCTAGGTAAGTAATTGATTTAGCAAATTTTGTTGTAGAACAAAAACTAAATAAAAATTAACAAACAAAACAAATGAAAAAAAAAACCTGTAAGATATGAATAAAGAATAAAAAAAAATTTAAATCAGTTGGTTAACTCAGAAGAAAAAACATAAATGATTTCCTTGAAAAACATTTATGAAACTATAAAAAAAAATAAATGACTTCCATGTATGTTTAGTTTGCTCAACACATACAATTTACACAAAAAATACAAATACATAATTAGCAAATTACATCAATCAATTCACATAAGTAAACATGTAACCAATTATAACAAATCAAAAAATGAAAACTAAAAAGCAAGAAAAAACGCTGAAACAAACACTTCAAATAAGAACACACAACTAATTACAAACAAATATTGAGCAGAAAAAAACTGATTAAAAATGATTCCTAAAATGAAAAAAAACCACATATGTGTTTTTTTTTCTTTCAAAAAAACCCCCCACACAAACACTAAACCATATATCCGAAATCAACAGAAACCTTAAAAAAAACAAGAAACGAAAACCTATTTCAAAACCAAAAAAATGAACAGAGAATGAAAAAACATAACGAATAAGAAAAGTGCCATACATCCATACAAAACCTATAAACACAAAGAGCAAAACTAATAGGAAAGATTTTCGGTTAAAACCAAACAACATATGATTTTTTTATCTCCGAAAAAACCCTTAGACAACCAATGAACAGGAAAGATGACCAATTTTGAGACTTTCTTTTATATAAAATTATAGATTTAAGTTATCAATTGAGTTAATATCTTTGAACTCATCATATGAATTTATTGGTTAACATAATTATTATAATATATAAAAGGCCGAATTACAGCGATGATAACAAGATATTAAAATGGTAGTAATGAGATTAAAATCAACAATAAAGTAGCATGAGTTTTGTATGTTATATAATTTTATAATAAATTTAAAATTTAAAATTTAAAATTTTTAACAAAATAAATGAAAAGTTAATAATATTTATTTTATATAAAATTAATAATTAATGTTAGAAATTTATAATAATATATTTACTGAAATTAATAAAAAAAATTTAGTTATTTAATTATTGGATCTTGTGTTCAATTGTGATCACTATGCGGTAGAGGCAACTTAATCGATCTATATGGACCTTGCCAAGTGACCAGCTCATGCACGATTAGGCTTCACGATGAAATTGACTCTTTAATTTATAATAAAAAAATTAAAAAAATTAAAATAAGAGAATAAGTTTTTATTTAATATTTTGATACTTTATAAAATTTTAATAGTTTTTCCAAATCTTCTATTTTAAAAAAAGCTCATACAAAAAAAAATAAATATTGCTGATAGTAGTAATTGGTATTCCAAATTTTCTTTACTTGATAATTTGGTAAATTTTAGTTTTTTCATTCTCTGTTTCGTGACGTCATGAGCTCAGGTTATTATTGTACACGTGTTCATAACATAAGACGGTTGCACAAAAGTCTAACAAGCAAGGCGTCGCCAAAGCAAATCTGTATTACTCACAAGAAATGGAAAGTACAGGAGGGAAGAGCAAATGGCGGCAAAACAAGACCATCCGAAAACATTAAAGAAAAAAAAGCAAAAAAGGAAAAAATTCTGCCTGAAAATTCAAAACCTTAAAAAGCCAAAACGAGTAAAAGCCCTCCCGATTTTTGTTGATATCCCGAATCTACCTCTCCCTCAATTCTCTGTTATTTTTTCCCTCACTCTTATAATCGCTTTTAAGATCGTATCAATAAAGGTATTCTTTAGTTTTAATTTTTTATTTTACTTTTTCCGGTAAATGTTCGAGTTTTTTGGATCAAAGATTAGTTCTTTTTTTGTTTTCTATAAGTTGTTTAATCGTTGCTTGGTTGTGGAGAAAATGGAGGGAATTTAAAAGAAAGTAGTGTTCATGAGTAGAAAATCTAAGGTTCTTTTTGCTTTTACGATATTTTAAAATGTATTCTAATGAATTTAATCGTTGCTTGGTTGCTGAGAAAATGAAGGAAACTTAAAAAGGAAGTGGATTTAAGAGAATAAATTCTAAGATTCCTTTTTATTTTTTCTTTTTTTATTGATGAAATTTTATGATTTTTCAAATGTGTTCCATTTATTATGAGTTTAATCGTTGTTTGGATGCTGAGAAAACGAAGGAATTTTGAAAAGAAAGTAGTACTTGTGAGTGTAAAGCCTAAGATTCCTTTTGCTTTTACGACATTTAGAATGTATTGTAATGAATTTGGCTGGTGAGAAAATGGAGGAAATGTGTAAAGGAAGTAAATTCACGAGTGTAAAATATAAGACTCCTTTTGATTTTATGATATTTTAGATGTTCTTGTAATGAATGTTTGTTAAGTAGTTGTTTGATTAATGGATTACTATTTATGATGAATTATTTGTTATAACACTTTTAGATGTTAAGTTTGTAACAAATGTGTGTTTGTTGTGCTTGTCATAAAGTTTTGCCCAACTATTGGATGATTGCTATAAAATTACATGTCAGATTTGTCTCCCTTTTGTGGGTAACATTTATGCACACGTGCAAGCAAGGCGTTGTAACAACTTTCCATTATTGACTGGTATATGATGGTTATGTGTTTTTGTAGCGTTTTGCTGAAGTTTTCGAGAGGAATTTGCAATCATAATTGGATTTATATTTTAGTCGGTGGCCGCTGGTAGCCTTTAATTTTTGTTAGCTATTGACAAATATGATTGTTAAAATAAATTGCTTTGAAGGTGCATCTTCCAAAGTCTAGAATATTAAATCAAAACAACAATTTCATAAAAATAATAACTTCAGAATTGCGATTGTTTATAAGGTCTTCAATAGGCTGCATGCATTCGAGAGGGAGCTTATGGCAGTTTGGGTGGGGAAGAAAAGTTAATCCTTTGTTACTAAAGGTAGTATATTGATGTTTCAAGAGTGCTACAAGACTGAATATGACTTTAGCCGATACCCAGAGAATGAGTTTGTGACAATACTTCACCATGGAAGAGATAATGAATTGTTGATAGAGACTATAGTAAAAGGGAGGGAATTGTGGTGTTTGGGCTTTTGTATGTCCGTGTTACTAGGAGGAAACAAGGGAAGAAAGGAGTTAAAAAGGACAAATGCAAGGAAATATTGGTTGACCCTTTGGCACAACTTTTCCTTTTATATTTGTCTTATATACAACATATAAATGTTATATTTGATTTATATATCGAGCGCTCTAATAGCAAGCCTAAGTGTGCCTCTTCTGTTGAGTTGCTGTGTTAAAAATTAAAACTAGGAAGATATAGAGCTCTAAGAGATAACTGTAATTATAGACTAAAACTTTTAGAATTGTGTCACTTGTTTCATCAAACTCATGCAAAGCTATTTATCCCTTTACATATGCACATGTATTTTCTGTTTGTTGTTTCCATGTGTATGTTTTATCTCAGCATGCATGCTTGCTTAAGCTTCTATAGATCTGTCTTTCACTGTGTATAAGTGATTATCATATACAGAGAGGCTGATTGCAAACAATGTTGTTATGGAATTTGAACCTCATGGCAGTGAGTTGTTCTGAAACACTTAAATTAACGTCTTACCATAAAGGTTTTGTAATATGAATTTTATAGTACATATTTATGAATTTTTGAGAGACCACTCAGGACTTTAAATTTTTCCAATTTGTTTGTTTACCATACACTGCATAGTTCTTAAAAGTTAATGTTCACAGTCTTGAACGATTGCCCATTAAATCAGTATCATTGAATAATTGGACTTGTTAAGGTCAGTTTGGTGGGTGCCTTGGAAAATCATCAGAGGAGAAAAATTGTAGACTAGCAAGCCCCTGAATATTTTTGGAATTTTAGATATTGACACATGGTTAGCTTCTGCGCTGCCAAGAATTGCCACAGCTTATTAGTTGGCAATGCTGGGCAAAGTTTGATAACACAGTCTCAATAATAACTATTTATTGTTGAAAACTGCATTATTGTTCACGTTCCTTTTATCTGTTCTCAAATGATCAAATGTGATGAATGAGTGCTTGCATGCATGCATGAGGACATGGTGGGCTTGGGAGGGTGTGAGCATGGTTGTAGTTGTGTCACGGTTTTACTAAATTAAGTAACACAATTAGTGCAAAATATGACTTATATGTTTTAGTTTTGAAGTGTGGTTTGTCAAGAAGTGGCAAGTTATTTTATAGCTGCTAAGTTTCTCTTTTTTTTTTAAAGTTATTTATTATTATTATTATTTAATTTTTCCCTCTGTTTGCAGATAAGTTAAGTGGAAAAGTGTGCCCAGAAGGCACCTGTCTTTTTACTTTTCAAATGAAATTTGATATCAATAGTTGGTTTTTGCATGCAACAGGTAATGTGCTGCTTAAAAGTTCTGGAATTTTGTGAGCAACTTTTTTGCCTATTCCTTTTGGGTGAATCTTGATTATCACGTTTTTGAAAATTTCATCCCGTTGTATGTTGATTGAGGAAAGAGGGTCTAGGAAAAGGAGATTCTTTCAACCCTCCTAGCGAACTATAGTTTTCTAAAGCCCATAACTTATAAATATGAATTGTTGAAGCTGTCAATATTCTAGTTGGTTATCATTTTAGATGTCATTTTGGTCAGTCGTTGCTGATTATCTGTTGGCAAAATTGTTTTACTATTTTTAGGATACAACAATAAAGTAGTGGGCATTTGGGAGATGTGGGCTAGTTTTGCCTGAATCAGATTTGATTTTATGATCATCTTATTACGTATTTAATTTCAAAGGTAATTGTTGATAATCTAAATGTGCTTGTTTATTAGCTTTGCTGCACAGTAATTTCAAACTTTGTTATATATGACAAAGTTTTATCCTTAAGAATGAGGCTGATATGAGGCATAGTATTACTGTAGGACAATGTTTGAAATCCGTAAAGTGTGAGGTTGAGTTCAAAAAAGTTGTTAATTCTTTTGATCATCAGATACTTTTGTAATTATTAGATTTCAAGGAAATACATGCCCTATTGAGAATTTTGGTGCTCTTAGGAAATTACGCGACAAGTGAGACTTTTTTGCCCTAGGCTGACAACTATATGGTATTTATTATATTTTTACCATGTTATAAGCATAAGTTATTTTATAGCTTTTATCATCTGTTATGAGGGTTTGGATACTTTTCTATATCAGTGGAGATGGTCTGGTAATTGGTTCTGGAGAAATGTCTATCCTATAACATCAACTTAAAATTAATAATGAGTTGTTGGAATTTTAATGTCTCATAAGTTTGTAAAACAATAGGAGGTGGCAATAGAGATGGTAGAGGGTCTCAAGCACACCATAGTTGTGCAAATGAAATCCGGGGCAGGGTGTATGTCCAATTTTGGTGACTGTTATGTTTTAGAGCTGTGCCTATATTCAAACTAAATCTGAATCAAATTGATAACGATCATGTTTCTTTTTAGGTATGTTTGGAAGCTTACTGGAATATGTTCTTCAAGGGCTCTAGTTCTTGAGTAACAAGAATATGTTTCCTTCTTCTTTGTCAGGTAATTTCCTGTTTTCTTTTCTCTTGTTATTGCAGTTGAGTGGTTTCAACTAGAGCACTACAACTGTGAGCTTGATAATTGATTATTAAACCAAATATTTCTTGTGGATGGTTTGTTTATTATATTTGATTAAGTTTCATCCCAATACCTTTCTTATTGTTTGTCAGGTCATTGCTTTTACTAAATATAGGTTTTGCAGTAATAGTTCTTAGAATTGCAAGTACTTTTTTTAAACATTAAATCTTTATTATTAACGAGCTTTTGAGCTCTTCATGTAAATAGTGTGTACTACATTCACCAAGCAACATTTTAATGATTGATGATCTTCGAAAAGGACTTCAGTATTAATTGATGGAGGTTACAGCTTGATGCAGACATCAGGCCCTACAAGTGCTTACTCTTTGCAGCCTAGATAAGCTGTGTCTTTTATCTGGATGTCGTGTTTGGTAAGTTTCTATCAGCTTGTGGAAGTACAAATATATTCCATTAATGCATGTTTATTTCTTCATTATGCCTTCAGACCTTCTTCAATTGAACAAGCACTGATAGTTCTCTTGCTTAAGCCTTTGAGAACTTTGAGTTTTTTGTTTCTTTCTTTTGCACATATGTTTTCTCTAATCTAAAAGAATGTCAAAAAAGCTCTCAAAGTTTTCTTATGGGAGAATGAAATATACTTGCAATCTAAAAACTTCTTTTTTGATGAACTTTAAATGTCAACGCATCTTGGTGTCTCTCTCTGGGACAGTGGAGTTTAATCTTTTTGGTCCTCTTTGAGTTAAATGGGGAATGTTGGATTTGAGGCTTATATTTGCAAATGGTATGATGTTGATTCCTTTAATCATCATCCTGGACTTTTGTAGTTCCTATGAATATATGCTCCAACTGCAAATATGTAGCCTCAGGACTTCCTTAGCATGTTTAAAGTCTTGGTGTCAACAACCATTAATGTCATATCTTAGTGGATCCCCGGTCTCTTCTTAATCTGTTGACAATTTTCAGTTAATAGATGTTCGTAACTGTAATCTGGTTTCTTGCAACATTATTTGTTTTTGTACTATATCTTTTACTCTTATTACTTCCGGCCATCTAATAGGACTAATCGGTGTTCCCCCCAGGAATCCTTTTTCTCTATCTAATCCTTTTCAATAATCATGGCCTGGTTTCATATTGGACGGGTATTGAGTAACTCTTGTTGGATGTGCTTGTAGATTCAAGGAACCTAGTTGCCAATAATTTGGATAGACATTTTTGGTCTAGCTTTATGTTTGTGCATGCAGAGACATGCTAACTCTATGACATATATGTATCTGCATGTCTTGGTGTACATATATATTACATAGTGAAGCATGAGAAGGGGAATTTGAACTGGCTATATTGAAGAATGGCTCTTTTAGAGCATGAATTGAAATAATCATCACAGTTTTATCAATTGACAGACTACATCCCACTGCCCATGGGATTTAAAATTCAGCTAAAAAATTCTCTTCCTGCAGAGCTAACATGGGATGAATGCATCTCATGTTAGCCAAAGAACAATTGTGTACAACAATATGTTAGTAAGAATCTTTCTTCTCTGCTACGTCAGCCAATTTACGTTTCCTTTATGGATAGTCTGTGGTTGGTACCTTTTGGTAACAATCATCTTTTAATCATGGCCTGTTTATCTCTTGCTTTTATTTTGTGTCTTCGCCAGCTTACTTGCCGGAAAGTGCAACCTGGCCATAAGGGGCCGGGGAGCTCTTGTTTTTTGGTCGAATCCCCTCACACAAACAAATCCTGCAAATAATTTTAGACTGTGAGTTAAAAGAGCATCGGTTAAAGCATTATAAGTCTTGGGGACATGCATGATTATTACTAGTTCTTGCAAGAGAGAAATGTGGTTCAACTGTAATTCCCTGACATTAAATTGCAACGTTTCCGGAAGGACTTTCGAACTAGGGATGTCTTATAATAGCTATTCTTCTAATTTCAGGAAATGATATTTGACATTTGGGAAGCAGGACTCAAGAAATTTTTATATGATGGACATGATATTTATACTGAAGTTCTAGGAATTTTCATGCTGTAAAAGAAAACAGCCAATTTAAGAAAGTTTTATATGATGGACATGAACAAAGTTCAACCATCAGTATAACTAATTTTCAACAACTAGCAACTAATAGTTCATTACTTACAGTGGATTATTAAAACATGACTAGTATGTACGAGTTTCTGTAGCTATAATATGTGTTCAAATAATTATCATTCATAAGGACATAATTATTGCAGTTGGTGTTTATTCAATTGTTGAAAATCATGAAAGCCGAACTTCAACCAAACCACCTGGGAGTGAAATTGTTTAGAGATTGGCTTACATCTTTTGAACCCCTTATAGTCTTAGTCAAGCTCCAGCAAGTTTTTAAACTTTGATGAGAATATGCAAGTCCCAAAGTCAAATGTGCGGATGATGAGTGAATCTGGACTTGAATTCCGCACTCAGCAATGTGGTTAGAAATTTATGCATTAACTCATATTTTACAACTTGTATATGAACTAGGGACCCTGAAAACTTAGTAATTGTCTATTCTTTAGTATTGCAAGTTTGAACACTCTACCTTCTTAATAATGCTCCTCTCTTTAAAAGTTCACTCCAACATCAGATAGGCTAGACTGTAACCTGTGACCCCATGGATAGGAATGGCAACTCTTGCCTTCCACAAACACAGACAGGGTGTGACTTAGACCCTAGTGGCCTTGGCAGATATGATGCACCTAGTGAGTAGCAGATAAATGGCAAGGGCAGCGAGAGGCTAGCAAATGGTAGAGTTGGAAAAGAAGGAGAAAACCTGCAAGGCATATTGCCATTGTGGTGGGTAGTAGGTCCTTTTTTATGCTTTGGAGGGTGAGAGATAGAATGTGCATACAATAGGAAAGCACTGCTGCTAAATACCATGCGATCTACTCAGGCAGTAACCACACTTAACATTTATCATCCCTTCTTGCATATGATTATTCAATAGTGATAAACTGTTGAATATTTTTTTACACAGTCAAATTGCCTTTGTATGATATTCTTGCTTTTCGCAAAATAAACTAAAGTTTAAATTAGTAGTGACTTCTGATGTTTGTTTCTGCCTACTTACTAGCTTTTGATGCAAAGCATTTTTTATTAATTATAATCCTTCTCATAATTAATAATATATGAAAAAGTGCTGATGTTCTAAAACTTTTTTATTGTAAAATAAGGTCATATTTGTTCTTTATATTTTTTAAATTTTCATTTTAAATATTTTTTATTAATATTAATAAGATTTTTATAATTTGTAAATATATAAAAATTTTAATTGCATCAGCCGACTTTCATTAAAAAAATATTTTTTTATTATTAATATTAATAAGATTTCTCTAATTTATAAATATGAAAGCTTTAATTGCATCGAATGATTTGTATAAAAAATATTATTTATTCAATTTGTCAATGAAAACTCTAACTGCATTTAATGACTTTCATTAAAAAATGTTTGTTTTAATTCAACAGTATTGAATAATTTATAGATTACTATTAAAAATTTTAATTATATATAATTGAAACATTAATTTTTCATTTATATATACAAGCAATTTTTAATAGACTTAGTATTTTATATATAATTTTTATTTGAAAAAAATAAAAAACTGTTTACATACAATGTATGTGACAATAAATACTAGTTTTAGTAATTTTTTTTTGACAGTCCTTAAACCTGTGTGCTAATTACTGTGTGATTAAAACACAGTATTTCATGCTTTCATATAATTTTAAAACTTTTTTCCTTTCATAATTTCTATGCTCTTTCCTTTCTTTAGCAAAAATACATGCTAGTAAGATTTCTGAACTTCTATCAGCAGTTTCCAGATCACCTTTCCCTCTTTTTGTCTTAGTTGGATCATCATGCAATGTTCTCTTTCACTTTTTAGCTGTACATGCATGACTGGCTAATTATAAGTTCAAGTCCAGAAAGCATATTTTCATGTATCTACCACCATGGTGGCACACATTTTATGCTTCTGTCATCAAAATAACTCATAGATTGGTTGCATTTTCTTTTTTCTTTTTGAGTGATCAAAATGTTAAAGAAAAAAGAAAGAGGGAGAAAATCTGGGTTTCTAGTAGGAAACCATTGCTATACTATATATGAACTTATTGTTTGATTGAATGCTGAGACTAATGTATAATCAGCAAGGGAACATTTTTTGTCCTATTTCTACTTGATATGTGTGCCTAATGAGAAGCTATTTTTTTTCACATGCAGATATGGTAATTGAATAATTAAAAGTAGCATTTCATACCTTTCCAAAAGCAGTACTGAATTCCCTCAGTTGAAAGTCCTAGTAAACATGGATTTCTTTTTGTAAGTAAACTTTTTCCTTTATTACTAAAGTGGGGCAACAATTTTAGTTCAAAAGCATGATGGGGAATTTCTTACCTTTGAAAATTGTTGATACAGATGTTCCGAAGTACACAGTTCGTCTGGGTAAATTCCATATCCATTCCCTTGGGACATCCATCGGGTTGAGGCTTGATTCATGATCCGCAAAGACCTATGTGGTACAAGCAACTTTATTTTATAAGCACCTAATTAACAAATGAATGTGTGGATGCTGGGCAGTGTAGGAATCAATAAAATGCCAGTCTTAGAATACCGAAAAATAATCCTTATTTTGTCTAGGGTAGGGTTCTGGGTTTCCAGATCCCACTGGATACCCCTTTTTGGGAGTCCTCTATGAATTAGAGTTGGCAATAACTTGAATAACAATACCTCATTAACTTGAAAATATGTCCCATTTAGGGGAAAGCTTCCTCTCATTGCCGTTCTGCAAGGTATCTGTACGCATTACAATGCAAATATTAGTAAAGAACCCAGGAGGTATTTGTGTTTTATGCTTCCATAAGGTTATGTATGACTGAATCTTGCTCACCAAGAGTGTTCCTCGGACTGTTTGTGCATTGGCTTCTCTTACACTATTGCAAGCAAAGCAGGTCTTCTCATTGCACAATCTTCCTGGTTCTTGGGACCCACAACTTTGTTCAGGTGGTTGAATTGAATTTGCAGTTTCACCTAGTAAATGCATATTAACAGAAGCTCATCTAATTAGTTCGCAATACAGCAAACATTATCTTTTTCCACTAGCATTTGTCAGTTTGTAGTTTGACCTCTGATGACATATCCTATTAACACTCCTGCAAATCTATGGTGCGATCTTAACATTGTATCGAATTTTCAAAAGTATATCATCATAAAGGGTGTGAGGTGATCTTTTGCCCACCTCTAAGCCTGCTTGATGGACCTTGACCTGTTACAGAGGTTTTGTTCTTACCTGGTGTCCATATAGCAAGAAGGTAGGGGATCGGATCATCAGGTTCCCGCTTTTCCATCTATTGATTTTCAAAATATGGAAGTTAGAGAAGTACGTTATGTATAGAAATCTGGAATTTTTGAAGAAATTAAGAATAACTTACTTCTTCCAAGAGAGGATGATCATCTGGAAGTTCATATCTGCATCATTCAGCGATGTGTTAGAATGTGTTCTGTAGTGTTTTATCATAGTTGTACAAGTATTTTATATGAATCATTGATGATCTATTTGTCAGTTGGTATAAAAAATCTCTTGAACTATACCTTTTTCCCTCTTAACCCGCAAGTCTATTTTCAAAGCAATTTCCAAGTATTATTGCACTCCAAATTTGATAGTGGAAAGTTAGATAAAGAACTTATTGAGCTCATTTTGTATAAAGTGAATTTACTGATGCATTGATTGGACTAATTTTAGCTTAGGTCCTAAAGCTTTTGTGAGCTGTTTTAGTTTATAATTTAGCCCCTTCTGACTATTATATTAACAGGCTTTTCATGATCATTTATTTGGTATTTGGGTTACATGATTATGAGGAAAAAATCCACTTACACATAGTGCTCTGTTCGCAGCCTGCTCACATTCTTCAATTTGGGAGTGGGGATAGAAGCAGCTTCAGGATTCAAAGCTACTAAAGCCTTTGACAAGTCACTTTCTTGGAGTTCCATCTTTTCCTGCATGTAATGCTGTAGATTTGCTGTGAACTCTTCAATATTGAGTGTTATTGTGGGAATTTCATCAGGATCTTCATAGCATGCATCTTCAATGTCACTTTGTGATTCTTCTGTGTGCTCAGGTTCTGGTGTCGTTGGTTCTTCAATGATAGGTTCATGGTTGCCATTGTTAGGCCCCACACGAAGCAGGTTATGCGCTGGTGGAGGTAATGGCATTGGATTGAGAACTTTGACTGGGCTTCTCTCAGACATCATGGGAACAGTTGAGCTTGTTATGCTTTTCTCTTCTGGACCTGGTAGCGCCAGCCTTGCACTGCATGAAAGAAAGTTGACACATGTGAAACATGCAGTTCACCCTTTTGGGGGGCAGGTATGTGGTTTCAGAACATCTTTTGGTTTTCACTTTATTATCTATTTAACTCTCCTAAGTCATTCTTCTTTCATTCCAACCACTGAAAAAATGTTGACCCCATTGTTCTTTCTTTAACAATTAAGATGACAGATTGCACTGTCAACTATTCAAACTCATTTTGTGCCTATTTTAACTTCTAGATAAGTGTTTTCAAATGTGATTTTGGTATTTTTGGTCTCAAATGTGGTCTGAAGGTGCATGCATTGCATTTTACAAAAGCCTTGAAACTATTGACACAGTAATTTTTTTGTAACTCTATTGCTTTGTGTTTGTAACTCTATAAACACGTTAATTTTTTTGTAACTCTATTGACACATTTTACAAAGCCTTCAAATGTGTTCTAACTTGGTCTTTGTTTTTGGGAGATGGTTTTTTTGCCAGGGTGCTATTGTGTGCCCATTTTAAGCATGTGGGAAAGAAACATCTACAACTTTTGGGCATCTGAGAGGTTTGAGACATGTCCTTTCTGCCTTATAGTAGATTATATTGGACTACTTTGGTAGTGTTTTGGGGTAGATAAAGTGCGTAAAACAGATGGAATTCTTAGTCTAATCCATATTCGTACAAGGGGACGGCATCCTTTGCAACATCACCACGGTGATCTAATCACAGGGGTGGTCTTATTACTATGGTAATGCCATTATCGGTGAAATATTAATTGCCACAGTGATCTAATCGTTTTCAAGATAACCATGTTTGGTACGATGCTACTTAGTAATCATTAATTACTAGGGATTAGAAATCACCATTTTTGGTATCACATAAAAATCAAATATCATTTTGTAACAAGTACCAAAATAAGTAAATAACCATATTCTAAAGGTGAAAAAAATTACTCATAAATTTAATGTTATATTAACATAACAATTTCTGAAATATTAATATTTTATTTCTTAAATAAGTTTAATTAATTGAATCAATAAAAAATATGAGAAATATATTTAGTTTTGATAAGCTAACTTCTAACCTTTTAAATTAGATGAAAAACCTTTGAATGGAAAATATATTTAATTTATCAAGATAATAGTGAATTGGCTACCAAAACAAAGATTTTATACATAATCAAAGAAAAAAATGTGGAAAACTATATAATATCCTTGTAGTTGCTACAAGGAATACTTGAAAAAGTAAAAACTTAGTATTACATGTGTAAATTATTTTTTTGGTAGGAAGCAAGTTTTTTGTGCTCATGCTAAAAGGTTAAAATCGTGCGTATAAACCTGAGTGAAAAATTTTTCCCACCCTTTTCGATGGGAAATAAATTACCTCTCAAGTTAGTGGTCTAATCACTCTTGGTTATCTAAGACTGCTGTCATATAGGATCACCAAGTTCCTACCAAACAAGGTGATCTAGTCACAAGGTGCAGATCACCCTTGATTTTGGGGTGATCACCCAATACCAAATACTGCCTTAATGTTTTGTATACAAATAATATGCTCCCTTCAATGGGGATGCCTGTCCACAATTCATGGCTGTGTGAAATATCCATCAGATTTTGGATCTAGGCAGATGTCAGTTGTAATGATTGTGTAAATGTAAATATTGAATAATAAAGATACAGTGTTTATCTTTCTTTGACGCTATAAGACCTTTACTGCCTTATTAACTAAGGCAATTGTTTGATGCTAATAAGCCGAAGCTAGTGGCTTGCAGGTTGTCATGTTGCTAAGTTTTTCATATACGTTTTGCATATGCTCATGCAAACAAAACTACAACATTAATAAATGATTATTAACCTGTAACTGAGCAAAGAAATGTCTCAAGATTAGATTCTGATGTTGAGGCTTGTGTCTAAAAACTAGATGCATGCTGATGAGCAGCCTCTTTCTATCTGTCTAAGTTATTACTTGGCTATAAACACAAGCTGGAAATAGGCTGGAGACTAACCTTGCAAAAGCACTTGCAAAGTGCCTGCACTCTCCTCTCATTGGACATGCATTGCAATTTGGTTTACTCTTTGTGCAAAAAACCTGCATAACATGTTAAAGCATGAGTATATTGATGCTTTTTAAAGGCCTTATTACAAAATATGATTCTAAGTTATGAAGCATTGATGGAAAAAATTGAACCTAATGAAATACCTTTCCGAATGTAATCATTTGATAATGTAGTTCATACCTATAACCAGTAATGCATGAATCAGTAAAAGTTTGTATCTAATTTTCTATTTTTGAATACACAAATATCTGAACAGGGGTTATGAGGTTACAATGTTCGTTGATCGAGTTTGCATAATCTTGGCCAGAGATATTTCTGAATTGACTCCAGTACCGGATACCTAAGATGAACTTTTTTAGCATCTGTGGGCAATGAGAAAAAATGAGGTTCATTTTTTAATGTCTAACACTTACAATTCAAGGAGGTGCAACTGTAGTGATTCAGGCAGTGGTTGGAGAGGAACCCAACCCAGCCTAACTGCTATTCTTCCAACATTTGTGTCAACCTTCACAAAATGTAAATATTACACATTGGATGTGTATTTTTGTTCTTCTTAAACTAAATTTGTAGGTAAATTTTACTTGAGTCTTACCGGAAAGGCAAGATGGTGAAGCGTTAAAAGACGCACACACTCCACGCTTTTCAGCCCCAATCCCCGTATACTTAAAAGATAATCCCTGCAGCACAAACAATTTTATGATGCCATAAACATAAACTACTCAGATGCAGAAGATTATTATTCACTTCCGATCAGTTGAATTCTGTGAACAGTTTTGTTATTTATGAAGCAATAACAGTAATACTAAGAATTAAAAGTGAAATTTGAGATGGCTTACTTTGCTTTATCAGGGGGAACCTCTCTTAACCATTCCAGATCAATGCTTTCATGTTCGCTAACCAGTCGGTTCAAGAATTCCTGCAATTTTTTTCAAGTAATATTAAATCTGCTGTAAAGGTTTCTTACTATAATATGAT